TAAAAGCAATAAAGAAGAAGAAACAGAACTCAATAAACAAGATAAATTAATAAGTAAATAAATAATAGTAAATAGTAAGTTAATAGTAGTCTCGTGTCCCAGCTTGTATACATTAAAGGTAGTCATGACATCACCTGCCTCCACAGGTGTAGCGTATCAGGTGTGCCAATCAATACATTACAAGTCAGGTGTGTCCGTTAAACGATGTCGATTACGTGTGTCCGTCCAGATGTGTGCCAGGACCAGGGTGTGTCGTAACTGGTGTGTCGGATGTGGTGTGTCGAGATTGATGTATCAGAGATGGTGTGTCAGAACCTGGTGTGTCAGTATTGGTGTGTTAAGTTTTGGTGTGTCACAGCTGGTGTTTCGGAGTTAGTGTGTTAGTTTTGGTGTCAGAACTAGTGTGTCAGGACTGGTGTGTAAGAGTTGGTGTGTCATATCAGATGCCACACCCACTGACTCACCTGATTACTGTAGCACAACCCTTGTTCTAGTGGTTCCTATAGTGATCACCGTCAGTTAGAGAGAGAGAGAGAGAGTCATTATATTATACTACCATTTACAACACCACCACCTCCACCATTACAACCAACATCACCACCATCATCATCACTACCACCATCATCACCACCGCCATCACCACCGCCATCACTAACACCATTACTACCATGACCACCACAAGATTACAAGATGTTGTAACCGCTAGATTAAGGTTAGGATATAAGTACCTCTGGCAGTATGTTCCTCAAGCAGATGTAAACAAGACTAAATGTAAAGTGTGTGGCCAGACACATAGCCACACACTTCAACACTACGTCTTAGACTGTGTGAAGATAGAACCTTTTAGGGACAGGTCCAAGCACACTGTGTGTGAAATTGCACAACACTTCATCTTTAATGGCAAGATAGCCGACATAGCAAGATTGTATCCACTTTTTTCCACTTAGTAACTATATCAGTTCTCATGTACAGAACCAAATACACAATGTGCTTGAATACTTCTCACGCAAATGTGGATAACAGAGTGTGCGGCCAGACATACTGCCTCACACTCCTGTACTCACGCATTTGTGAATAAGTTACCCTTTATGTATAGAACTAAACAAATAATGTAATTGAAATACTGTGTAACATTCAGTGCCATAATATCCTGACAATGGGGGTTAATTATTATGACCCGTTGTAAACTCTACTCTGTAATCCTTTTGCGCTACCGCTCACAGGATGAGTGTGAGGTGCACAATAAAGTAGCCGTTGTAAGCGGCAAAATCAAATCAAAATCAATCCACCACCACCACCACACCAACAACAAAACACAGGGACCTCACAGGCTCTCGCTCTACAGTATAGTCAACAGTACTGGCTGGCCTTTTGCAATACTATGTTTATATATTGCATATGTTGTCCGCCGGCCCCCAGAGTACTGAATCTGGTTAACAGGGATAGAAGGTAGAGTGAAAGAAGAGTAGGATGACGGGGTGAGATGACGAGGAAAGGAAGAGGGTGGGAGGAGGGAGGAGGAGGGCTGAGGTGTGGAATGGAGAGGAGGAGGAGGTGCATGGATGGGGGAGGAGGAAAAGAAGGAAGGGGTAGGGGGAGGCAGGGGTTGCTACACTTCCTTCAACCCCTTTACCCACCACCTCTCTTCTTCCTCTACCCTCACCATTTCTCTCTCTCTCTCTCTCTCTCTCTCTCTCTCTCTCTCTCTCTCTCTCTCTCTCCTACATGCATGTTTACTCCACCTCTCACTTCCCACTACATCACACCCCTTCACCGCACCCTTCACCCCACACCTTCACCCCACACCCCCTTCACCCCACCCCTTCACCCCACCCCTTCACCCACACCCATTTCACCCCCACCCCTTTCACCCCACACCCCTTTCACCCCACCCCTTTCTACACCCTTTCTACCCACCCTTTTCACCCTTCACCCCATTCACCCCACACACCCCATTCACCTACACCCCCTTCACCCCACACCCCCTTCACCCACCCCTTCACCCCACCCCCTTCACCCCACACCCATTTCTTACCTTTCCCCCCACCATTTCACCCCACCCCTTTCATACACCTTTCACCCCACCTTTTCATTACACCCTTTTACCCTTCACCTTTCCCCATCCTCTTCACCCCTACACCCTCTTCACCCTACACCCCTCTTCACCCCACCCCTCTTCACCCCACACCCTCTTACCCACCCCCTTCAACCCCACCCTTCAACCCCCCTTCACCCCACACCCCTTCACCCCCTTCACCCCACCCCTTCACCCCCCTTCACCCACCCTTCACCCCACCTCTTCCCTTCACCCACCCCACACCTTCACCCCTACCCCTTCACCCAATGGAGATGGCTTTCAACTAGTGCAGTCCAGAACAAGAGGAGGCAGAAGAGGCAGAAAACCTTAGACTGACAACTACAACCTCAACCCCCCAAGAGAGTAAGATTAAACTTCCCTGTAGGTACACCACCTGAAGTCAAATATCGATGGCTGAACGTGGCGGAAGAGATACACACACACACATTATAGACAACAATCATAAACACACAAAAGTTTACACAACAGTTGTAAATAACAGCGTCACCATTTGAGTATAAATTCATACAAATCCTGAGAATAATTACATCAATATATAAATTATTAAATAACAAAAACACCGTATGTAACATAAATAGAACTTCCAAAATGTCGACAATAGACCCCCTGGCGGTGGCCTGACGAACTAGGTACCACCGTCTAGCCCCGCCGGGACCAGGTCGAGGCTGGGCCCAGCCAGTTGCTCACTTGAACTGATCACTCGAATTTAATTTAATTTAATTGAATTGAAACAGTTTATTTAGCCAGAAAAACACAGATACAGAGTGGATAATAATAACAATATTCACATGGCTGAGCCAGTTGAGAACCTGAGCTCTCCTTGAGGCGCCTGATATATACTATACATTTATCTCAAGGAAGTATTATGTAACACTTAGTAACATCTGGAATAGTACAATAGCATGGTGGTTATAAGAACATCTCATAATGTTACCACGGTTATCACTTCAATATTTATTAATTTTATTCGGGTGGGTGACTTACACGCAACTCACATACGAGTTTGACATTGATCCCTGCACTGCTCTTAACCGAGTAGTGATGTTGGGGCTTGTCATCTCAACCTTGATTGACTACGGACTATGACCTACTTCCCGACAATGATTACCCGACTATGACTACCCGACTACTTCTCCTTTATGATTACCCGACTATGACTACTCGACTATGATTACTCGACTATGATTACTCGACTATGACTACTTCTCAACTATGAATACCCGACTATGACTACTTCTCAACTATGATTACCCGACTATGACTACTTCTCACTATGATTACCCGACTATGACTACTTCTCAACTATGATTACCGACTATGATTACCCGACTATGACTACTTCTCAACTATGAATACCCGACTATGACTACTACTCTGCTATGAATACTCGACTATGACTACTTCTCTGCTATGTTCACTGACTATGACTACTTCTCAGCTATGATCACTCGACTATGACTACTTCTCTGCTGTGAATACCCGACTATGACTACTTTTTCTGCTATGATCACTCGACTGTGACTACTTCTCTGCTATGATCACTCGACTATGACTACTTCTCTGCTATGAATACCCGACTATGACTACTTTTCTGCTATGATCACTCGACTATGACTACTTCTCTGCTATGATTCACCGACTATGACTACTTCTCTGCTATGAATACCCGACTATGACTACTTCCAACTATGATCTCGACTGTGACTACTTCTCAACTATGATTACCCGACTATGACTACTTCTCAACTATGGTTTACCCGACTATGACTACTTTCCAACTATGATTACCCGACTATGATTACCCGACTATGACTACTTCTCGCTATGATTACCCGACTATGACTACTTCTCACTATGATTACCGACTATGACTACTTCTCAACTATGATCACTCGACTGTGACTACTTCCTGCTATGAATACCCGACTATGACTACTTCTCAACTATGATCACTCGACTGTGACTACTTCTCTGCTATGATCACTCGACTATGACTACTTCTCTGCTATGAATACCCGACTATGACTACTTCTCTGCTATGTTCACTCACTATGACTACTTCTCTGCTATGATCACTCGACTGTGACTACTTCTCAACTATGATTCCGACTATGACTACTTCTCATCTATGGTTACCCGACTATGACTACTTCTCATCTATGATTACCCGACTATGATTACCCGTATGACTACTTCTCAACTATGATTAACCGACTATGACTACTTCTCAACTATGATTACCCGACTATGACTACTTCTCAACTATGACGTACCTCCCTCACCCATCCTGGGAGGTGGAGAATGGTACCATCCATCAGGCGCCGACGGAAGGTATCAAGAACCACCGACTGGGAAGGGGTATGGATTCCCTCCCCCCGCCCCTTTCCCCATTTTTGGGCGCACAACATCTCACAGAATGAGTATGTGGTGCCCAATAAACTAGCCGCTGTAAGTGGCAAAATTGCTCTATACACCTGCCAGTTGATCAACACGCAGGTACTTAGAGTATACCTGTTTCCCCCCGAGTGAAACGCCATCCAAGGCTTTTAATCTAGTTATAGAGAGTGGCAATAAAACTTAGGGTCTGGTGTTCGATTTATGTTTACCACTGTATCGAGTAGCCTGTGTAGCAACGTGCTTCACACACGGTGCAGTAAATCGTAGTGCATGAGCAGAAAATACCGGTTTATTTTATATTTTTTCTTAATTTTTCTTTCGACTTCACAGTCTTGTATTGTCTTATTGTGTGCGTGCGTGCGTGCGTGCGTGCGTGCGTGAGGTGAGGTGAGATCGTGGGTGGGCGAGGCTCTGGTTGTTTATGTTGGCTACAGTTGATTGTTTTTTAGATCAGCTGACGATGTATATACACAACGCTTCCTCCCAGCACACCGACCCTGCTTCCTCACGCCGCCCCTGCTTCTCGCAGCACGCCCGACCCTGCTTCCTCGCAGCACGCCCTGCCCTCGCAGCACGCCCGACCCCTGCTTCCTCGCAGCACGCCCGACCCTGCTTCCTCGCAGCACGCCCGACCCCTGCTTCTCCCTGCCGACCTCTTCCTCCAGCACGCCCGACCCCTGCTTCCTCGCAGCGCCCGACCCTGCTTCCTCGCAGCAGCCCGACCCTGGCTCCGCAGCACGCCCGACCCCTGCTTCCTCGCAGCACGCCGACCCCTGCTTCCTCGCAGCACGCCCGACCCCTCTTCTCGCAGCACGCCGACCCCTGCTTCCTCGCAGCACGCCCGACCCTCTGCTTCTCGCAGCACGCCCGACCCCTGCTTCTTCGCAGCACGCCCGACCCTGCTTCCTCGCAGCGCCGACCCCTGCTTCCTCGCAGCACGCCCGACCCTGCTTCCTCGCAGCGCCCGACCCCTGCTTCCTCGCAGCACGCCCGACCCCTGCTTCCTCGCAGCACGCCCGACCCCTGCTTCCTCGCAGCACGCCCGACCCCTGCTTCCTCGCAGCACGCCCGACCCCTGCTTCCTCGCAGCACGCCCGACCTGCTTCCTCACCGCACGCCCGACCCTGCTTCCTCGCAGCACGCCCGACCCCTGCTTCCTCGCAGCACGCCCGACCCTGCTTCCTCGCAACGCCCGACTCTTCCTCACCCGCCCGACCCCTGTTCCTCGCAGCACGCCCGACCCCTGCTTCCTCACCAGCACGCCCGACCCCTGCTTCCTCGCAGCGCCCGACCCTGTTCCTCGCAGCACGCCCGACCCTGCTTCCTCGCAACGCCCCTGCTTCCTCGCCTTGCCCGACCCCTGCTTCCTCCGCAGCACGCCCGACCCCCTGTTCCTCGCAGCACGCCCGACCCTGCTTCCTCCGCAGCACGCCCGACCCCTGCTTCTCGCAGCACGCCCGACCCTGCTTCCTCGCAGCACCGACCCCTGCTTCCTCTGCACGCCCGACCCTGCTTCTCGCAGCACGCCCGACCCCTGCTTCCTCGGCACGCCCGACCCCTGCTTCCTCGCAGCACACCCGACCCCTGCTTCCTCGCAGCACACCCGACCCCTGCTTCCTCGCAGCACACCCGACCCCTGCTTCCTCGCAGCACGCCCGACCCCTGCTTCCTCGCAGCACACCCACATGCATGCTTCCCCATGATACATACACCTACCTCCCCATACGCTCCCTCACACATATCTGTACACGTACCATAAAGAAGATACTATCATCACTTTATACTTGATCTAACAGACGAAAGAACCTGAAGACCGCATTAGGGAGTTAACATGTGACGACAAGGTAAACATTACTCTCTCTCAGGCAATGAAATAAAGACATTTGATGCGTTATGTCTATTATTATGATTTTGTAGAGAGAGGAACAGAGAGAAGATAGATATAATATGGATAAAGAGTGAGTGAAAGAGTAGAGATTAAAATATTGAGAGTGAAGAGAAAAATCCCAGTGAGAGAGTTGAAGAGAGAACAGGAGCCAGACCCTAGTTGGAATCCCAGTGGAGGAGCCAACGTTAGCTGACTGTGTTTACATACGTGGGAAAGTTACGTTGATTTAACCCGATTGTTTTAGTCTCTCGTAGTAAGGGATTCATGGCCACTTAAAACCTGCATGACTGCCAGCTAACCTACCTGGGAAAACATCATTAAATTTAATTAGTGAGTCATGCAGTAAATAGTGAATAGCTTACCTAAAATTATCGCTGAAACTGGAGAATTGGTTATTATATATTTGTTAGAGAAAAAGGAGACTTGATTACATTTATTTATTACAGAAAATGGAGCATTGATTGACAAGTATTTTCTTCACGAAATGGAGAATGTTACAAAGTTTATCAAGAAAAATAGAGAATTGGTTATACTGTTTTTATTGCAAACGAAGAAGAATTGTTTACACTGTTTTTATCACGGAGAGAGAGAGAGAGAGAGAGAGAGAGAGAGAGAGAGAGAGAGAGAGAGAGAGAGAGAGAGAGAGAGAGAGAGAGAGAGAGTACGTCGTCATTTACAGCTCGTATAGTACACCTGGGAGGATCGTACACACAGCTGATCAGTCACGTGACGAGAATATAAACACTGGCTCCATGTGTCAGACTCTTATGGGTGTCTGTTGTGTTTTTTGCCCCGTGAAAAAGAATGAAATGTAATGTCTGTCTGTCTGTCTGTCTGTGTGGGTCAAACATCTGTATCGTTATGACTCTTTAATGACTGATTGACATAGTGTCTGAATGGCCGACTGACTGACTGACTGACTGACTGGCGTACACAAGCCACCATCCAGTCCACATAGTTTCGTTAGCGAGTCACTGAGATTAGTCAGTCGAGTTTACGCCTGTCCTGACCTAACTAATGGAGGTTGTTTTTCGAGTTTGAGTTTTTTTTTTGGTCAAGTGTGACCTTAACCAACAAGCGCTTGAGTAAGAGGTTTTATGCCCTTGAGTACGAGTACCTTACGACCTGGTACTCAAGAGGTTAGGGTTCTCATATTTAAGGGTTTATGAGTCATTGTATTTAAGGGGATAAGGGATCGTATCTAAAGGGTTAAGGGTCTCCTCATTTAAGGGTTATAAGTCCTCTTATTTAAAGGGTTAAGGGCCATCGTATTTAAGGGGTTAATCCAGCTAATGACCGACACCTCTTCACACTTATTTGCTTAACGTGAGATTTTGTATACGTGTTACCCCTTAAAAATAAAATATATACATGTGTTTGTTTCTTGAGATCTGTGGTGTATTTTTATGTTTATTCGTTTGTTTTGTGTTTGTTTCGTTTCACATACATGGTTTGTTTCATCTCGGTGGTTTGAACATTATTGGTCAGCCAGTTTACCTTGGGGTGTGAAGTGTTTTATATATCTTATTTAAATATACATTCTAATCTGTCTACTTGAAGGAATTAAACAGTGAGTAAAAGGTTGTGTATGTATGTATGTAATTCCTGTTCGTGTTTGTTTTGTTTGGTGTTTTTCTTGTGTTTTTTGTCATAAGGTGTTTAGTGTCTCGTTGACTCGCCAGTATGAACTAACCATCGTAATTAGGGGAGGGATTTAACAGGTGAGGATGGGCACGTCACCTGGCCAATTAGTGCGATAAGGGTGAGAGGGGGAGATGGTGGGGGTGTGACTGACTGTCATAACCTACCTAACCCCCCCCCCCCTCTCCCTCTCTCTAAACACACAAACACATACTTAATGGACTCCTCCCCTCCCTCACCCTCTTCTCTTCTCTCACTAAGTGCTCTGTACACTTTTTTTTAATTTCTATCAATCTGTCTTTTAATCGTTACATGGCAGGATTAGATGGTGTATCACCTATTTTCTGCCACGCCCTCTCTCTCTCTCACTCTTTTCTCCCTTTTCTCCCTTCATCCATCCTTTCTCTCCCTCCCTGTTGATCCTCCTTTCTCCCTTCTCTCCCTCCCTGTTGTTCCTCCCATTCTCCCCTCCTTCCCTCCTCTCCTCCCTGCTATTCCTCCTTTCTCCCTCTCTCTCCTTCTCCCTCCCTCCCTCCCTCCTCCTCCCTCCCTCCCTGCTGTTCCTCCCTTCCTCTCTCTCCTTCTCCCTCCTCCCTCCATCCCTCCTCTCAACACAAACAAACACACGCTCACACATCCTTAATGAGACAGCCTCCGCCTCTCACTCTCCTGTTCTAAGTAATGTTAATTATAATTACTACCAACATATCCAAATACTCCCATATCCACATTTAATTAGAGAAAATTAATTAAATGAATTGCACTCTAGTCTTCTACAGTTTACGATTGTCTCCCTGCTAATAGAAAACGGGTCTTATACATTCCAGCCTAAGCTAACCTAAGTAAGATATAACTTAACCTATTCTGACCTGATTTAATAAAGTAACTCCACCCAATTTTTTTTTATTTTTTTTTATAATAAATATACGGGGATTAGCTCACCCGGGCACAGGTCACTGACCCACATCGGGGCCTGGATGGCGAAAATGTATTAATTATTATAATAATAATTCATGATAAATAAAATTTATAAAAATAAAAATAATGAAATAATAACAATAATAATAATAATAATGCATACAAAATTTAAAAAAAGATCAAGAGTGAGAAACAATATATGTATGTTGCGTTGTCAAAGTAGGAGAAACAATTGAGACCCTGCAATTGTGTGTAAATGAGGCAGAAAGTCAGATCAGCAACCTGGGACTTGGTCACAATTTTCGTGATGCCATATGGCAGCAGGGTCTACCATTAGACAATATATTATGCTTCCAATATCTTCCCAGGCGGTAGTACCTCCCTGTTCGGTAGCTGCCTACTATCTACCTTTATCTACCGAAGTAAAATCTAATCTAATATAATCAAATCTAATCAGCTATAACCTAACTCAACCTAAATTAATGATTCCTTTATCGTGTCATTCTAACCTTGAGGAAACACTTGTCAACATTTAATTGTGTATAGTAAATATTGTCCCATTCTCTGACGTGTCATTTCATGGGATCTTCGCTGTTTTGGTTCTTGGGATTACTCAGACCCATCCCAGCCACAGCACGAGCAGCCACAGAGCTTGGCGTTCATTTTCATTCAGTCGTGTGATGTGTTCGTGGAAGTTAGTGTACGCCAGACGAACATTAGCCGGACGTTTTGGCAGTAGTGTTATTTTATTTTGTATTTTATTTATTTGTTTATTTATTTATTTATTTTATTAATTTTTTTTTTTTTTTTTTGGGGGTAAAGAGTGTTTGTGTTTCGTGGACTTTCCAGTTAGCTGTGTGACTGACTGTCGTTGATTACCCGAGACAGACTGACTGACTGATTGATTAACTGACTAATTGACTGTCTGACTGACTACTTAAATGACTGACTAACTGCTGGATAACCTTCGTGGTAAACTGACCGTCGTTGGGTGTCAATTAAAAGCTGATAAATTGACTGTCTGACTGGTCATTCCATTACCCCGGTGGCTGACAGGCAGAGGTTGTGAGAATTAATAGTTGTAATTATTCTGTCTCGTTTCTTATCGTTCGTGTTTTATGTCTTTCGTTCTCAGACACGCCCCTCTCATTCTCTCTCACTTTCTCACATAACCTCTCACTCCCTCTCACTCTTTCTGTTACTCTCTTTCGCTCCTCTTATTCCCTTTCTCGCTTCAGTTCACTTCCTCTCTCACACATTTTCATTCCTTCTCACTTTCTCGACACTTCCTCTACTCTTCCCCTTTCTCTCCCTTTCACTTCCTTTCGTCCTCTTTTTCCCTTCTCGTTTCGCATTACTCCTTTTATATCCTCTCACTCCCTCTCATTTCTTCGCGTTTCATTTGCCTCCTCTCACCCCTCACTCTAACTCAGTCTATCAGTCTGCCACTCACTCTGCCATACATTATCTCCTACATCACCACTCACCTCCCACTCCCTCTGTCCCACCCCTTCCTCTCTCACTACCCACCTCTCACTCTGCGCTCTTCCCTAGGCTAATCTTTCTCATCTTACTCACCCACTCACACTCACCCCGTTCACTCACCCTCCCATCATTTAATCAGAGAGAGAAGAGCAATTACTTCCTAATTATTGTCTTGTCTCTCTCTCTCTCTCTCTCTCTCTCTCTCCTTTGCAAGAGAGAGAAAACTACAAACTCAGGTGTAATCAAATTAAGGTATGTCTCTCAATTACCTGACACCCTTAAATCTTATTAAACCGTATTAATAGTTGAGGTCAGGTTAATTCTCACCCCAGTTTCTTGAGGTGGTCAAGTCAGTAGGTGTCTCACTTTTTGATGTGGTCAGGTCAGGAGCATCTCGCTATCTCGAGATGGTCAGGTCAGGCCAGGTCTCTCAGCTGTGTCGAAGACTGTCCCCGGGAGACCTCAATTGGTATTCCAGGGATGCTGTTCACCACTTCATCTCTGGCTACTTCCTGGTTCTACTCGACGCCCTGGATAGTGAGTGGCGAGTGTGGTGGTGATGGCAGTGGTGGATGTGGTGGTGTTGGCGGATGTGGTGGTGGCGGTTGTGGTGGTGATGGCGGGTGCAGTAGTGGTGATGCTGGGTGTGGTGGTGGTGGGTGTGGTGATGGTGTTGACGGGTGTGGTGGTGGTGGCGGGTGTAGTGGTGGCAGATATGGTGGTGATGATGGCGGGTGTGGTAGGGGTGGTGGGTG